TTGTTTACTGTGTAAAGCAACAGATTGTATAATTTGATCTATAGTTGATTAAGATTGACTTAAAAGCGTAGTAGATTTTGAGCACCGTTTTGGATTTATGATTTTAGTTTCAAATTAAACGAAAAAGGGTTATTAAAATTGGAATTTTAAAGTACATTCAGTAGGTCGGAGTTGATGATTAGAGATCGCTTTCGGATACTTGGGTGTTAAAACTTTGCGTAGTCGTTTAGAGACAATAGAATTTTATTTTAGCACCAGTTTGCGTTCTTGCAACGTCAGACTACACGATACAGTTTCAGATGGAATAAAAATCTATTTACCAATTTATTTCAAACCAGATTTATAGTTTAACCCTCTCAGAAAGGTTTTAAAACCTCATAAAAATTAATGAAGAAAATACATTTTTTTATTAGTAACTTACAATGTATTTTTGTTAAAGATATTTTTATCGTAAATACGAAGACATTATGAACAATAAATTTGAAATAGGGTTTTCGCCTGTTTATATTTGTATACACAAAGATTAGATTTAATTCTACACTCTTTGGAAAAACGTATGAAGTTAATTTTTGTATTTACTACACCTAACATCACCAAATAAAATAGCTTTTACATGACACAATATACAATATCTCAAGATCTTAAGCATAGCTAGACCTAGGAAAATATGAATGTAGTTCAAGGAACACGTTTATTATATTTTTGGACCACCTTAACTAAGTGTTTTTATTATATAGGTCCAAAATTTTTTTATTACTTATTGATACTTTTTTGATAAATTAAAGACTGTTTTCAAATTAAATTCCAAAATAAATACAGATCATAATATAAAATGTTAACAAAAATTATACAAACAAATAAATGAGAAGAAAGAACCTTTCTATTTATTACTTCCATTAGCCATTACGTTCAAGGAATGGGCACACGGAAGGGACTAAGGCTAAAGGTGTAGTGACGTCATTTCTCTAGTGGCTAATGTCTTCTCTTGAGGCAACACGATTACCGTAACGAAACGACGTGATTTCAGCGGCGTTCGTGGCATAGTTGGTAGCGTTTCGGATTGATGTTCAAGAGGTCCCGGGTTCGAATCCCGCTGGCAACACTTACTTTTTGTCAACAAATTTTTCATATCAGCAAGTTTGGTTGGTTAGGTTAGGTTATAACAGTTTAATTTTATAATACTAAATTTTAAAATTAATTTTATAATTAATTAAATATTAAAAGTACTGTAATCATTAATTAGATTTGTATCTTATATAGTTTTTGTTATTATCAGCAAGTCTGGTTGGTTAGGTTATGTTATGACAGTTTAATTTTAAAAATTAAAAATCAATTTAATAATTTTAAAACAATATTTTATAGTTAAAAAGTTAATTTTATAACTAAAATTAAAAAAAAATTAAATTTTTTCAACTTAGCAGTTCTAGCGGCGAACGCTGATACTACAAGATATATTAGCCTTAGTCCCTCCCGTGTGCCCCACCGTTACATTCAACCACAAGAAAATTCAAACGTGTGAATGAATGAAGTCCGTTGAATAAATGAATAAAAGAAGAAAAGCTCAAGTAAGTACATGGTGTCGGCACACAGTGGGTTCCCGCACCCTTGGGAAGCTTCCCAGACTACATGGGTCCCTTGGTGTTGGAATCTACAAAAGAATACTTTGAAGACTACGCGACTTTGTCAAAATTCTCCTCTTTATTTTAAAACTGTTTGTAGAACGTAGCACGTTGTAAATATATAAAAGAACATAATTGGTTTTATCTCCTTATTTTATTCTAAATGTACGGTAAAACATTTAACTTTGTATTCTTTTTGCCTTTTAAGATCTATAAGAGCAAATTATTTGTAATAAAAAGAAGCAAGAGAGATAAAACAGCACAAAAGCTAGTTGGGAAAATAGCAAATGGTAGAGAAAAAAGTGAAAAGATTTTGTATGGTCTAGAGTTTAATTTTTCCAAAACGGATAACTACAAAACCGTACCTAGTGCTTCAACACTGTTAAACACAATTCCAGAAAAATAAGGTTATGAACCAAAAACCACCACGTCAAGACTTAGTTTTTATTTATATGATAACTACCTGAAACAACAATTTTAAACTCCATCGTATTGGGATACATAAAAAATTACGTTTGACACAAAACAGTACATTTAAATATTTTTTCTTCTGTTAAATGTTTTATTTTATTTTATTTGTCTATGCAAACCTAGAAACTCTGAATGGAAGACATGTGGTACTTTATTAGGTATGACAGTTAATTTAGGATATATTAGGGAGATCGTCAAAGTTTTACTGCATAATTCAGCTTTACCTGTCTCCATTTATGAGCTTTGGACCTATGAGTTCATTCCACCTCAGGTGAGACATTGTTTGGTAAACGGGCCTACACAGTTATGTGAATTTTATGGCTATGATTTCGTAAAGGGAAATTTTGATTGTTTAATACAGCGAAATATACGTGCCAAGGTATAATGAATGGCTTTATGAACGGTTTATGGATGGTTTTAATAATTAAATCTGTATACTACGTCCCACTGAAGCGATTGTTTTTCTATGCTATTTTCATACGTTAAACCTTCTGTATTTCTAAAGTTTATATACTTACTTACGAGACAAACTATTTATAACTAAAATGTTCACTAGTGACTAATAAACAATAATTTAACATACAGGCCAAAGGACGTTTAGGGTGAGCAAATACAATTTTACTCCAAGTGGTTACCGAACCGAACACGTGTTAATTAACTTTTCTGAGCATTCAATACTTTTTTTTATATAAATGTGCTTTAATTATAAACAACTTAATTTTAACCATTGAAGTAACATTAATGTATAAAGCGCTGAAATTAAAAAGTTTAAGTAACATTCAGGAATAGACAACAACACTAAGAGTAGGGCTATCCTATTAGAAATCCTATTGCTTTTCCGCCGTTCTTAGCAGACGTAAATTATATGACACAATGATGAGTGAGAACCTAGGGTTCTTGCTTATTTGCGTTTTCCTTCATTACACATTTAGAATCTTAATAGTTTCAAAACATGGATATAGGAGTACAATGGGTTGAAATATATGGTATACTCCCGAAACGGTATTTTTAGTTATGAAAATATTTGAAAACAAATATATTTGTGTTTATAGGAACAATCTTTGGAGATTAAATAAACACTGCACGTACTCATGTATAAATAACTCAAAAAATAAAATACTCTGGAAAATGTGGTGACCTAAGTCATCTATCACCTATTACCAATTTCAATAGGTACATCGTCCATCTAATGATGGGCAAATTAATAACTCATATTAATAACTCTTAACAACTAATAACTCAAATTAATTTGCAAGAAAACTATCTGTTCTAATGAAGAGATAGGTTTCTTGCAAATTAATATGAGTTCTATTTGTACAGTAATTCTACAACTTTGTTGAAGATTATAAGTGGCTGTAAATGCATATGAACAAATTGAATGTATTGTTAGTCATGTGGTTGGAGCCACGAACGTCTTTGTTGGAAGTGTTGAGGAGTTCAGTCCCGGCTAGTTCATAAAAAAGCTGCCTTTTTATGTTTGTAGCCATTGATGTTTTGTGCCGATGTTAGCACTACGACAATGTGAGTAAGGTTTTTCTTAAAATTTTAAACATTATGTTCTGATATATAAAATATCATGTTTACTTTTTTAGTAAAGTTGTAAAATGACTTCTTAAACTCAATTAACTAAATTTGCAAGTTTTTGTGATGTTTCAGTCTTTCTTTACATTTGTTTGTTATGTAGATAGCCTCGGACCGATATAACTATCAATGTTAAGAATTTCATGTTGAACTCCATTCCTTAAAATGTGTGCGATTCTATCTAAAAATAACCGTTAGTAAGGATGGTAAAAAATCGTTTTAGAGATTATTCCATACATTTTTATCATCACGGTTTCGGGACCTGGAATCCGTCCCCTGGAAACACCGTCCTAATCTCGTTAAGATATCAGTACTCTCAGATCCCTAAACAACGTCAACATTTAGTATTTACTAATCGTAATGGATAACATTCAATTGCCATTACCAAAATCTTTAAACAATGAGCATGCTAAAAGGTGATTTGAAAAGGGGAAAGGGAATTGATTTACTAAAGAGGGTATTGATTTAGTAAAGTAGTATCCAACTTGCCATAATGCAATAGTGGTATTATTGTTAGAAATACGTAAACTAATATTTCTACAACAGAAGCAGACATCTGGTAACTATTCCCTGAGCAAAGCTACTTCAATGGTGATCACGTCTTGCTAGAGACGACCACAAATGTTATAAAGTGTAAAAGTTTCTTGTCCCCGAGGTAACTAACAAATGTATGCTGAACTTTTCTGTGGGAAACTTGTTTACTCCGTTACCGATGAATTATTGATATAAAGTATCTACTTTAACATTAGGTAGCAAATGAGTAGAAATTCAAGTAAATGACTACTTAGTTACTTAAATATTCTCAGTTAGTAAGATGACCATTTTTATTGTAGAAGGATTATAACTGGACAAAACTTAGTGAGTTTTTACAGTGAGTAACTGTGTAAATTATATAAATTCTCTTATAGTATTATGAATTTGATGATTTAAGAGATGCAATGGTTTACTTTAAGTTGATCTGTAGTTTGGCTTTCATAATAAATGGTGTATATGCTACTACAGGAATCAGCAATGGACGCACAACCTTTTTGTGGGTTAATTAACCCAAATTTATTTTAAACATAAAATTGGCTACAACTTAACAATGGAAATAAAATTAAGTTCTATTTGTAGTCAAAATTGCCAGCTTATTTCTGCAATATTCAATTAGCTGTTTTGGATGGTAAAAAATAACCATTATGACTGTTACCTGAGATTACTGTTTTCCTGGATATGAATCTAGTGTCTTAGGCACCGAAGCCCCGCACTCTTCTACTAGTTTAGGTCGATTTCTCCATGAGTTATATATATAAATAATGATTTCTTATTATTGGGTACTTTTGTCCCCAGGAGTTGGAGTGTGTGATGTTGTACCACCAGGAGAGTCAGTTGTCATCAGTTCCTCAGCTGGAGTGTCCCCGCGCCTGGGACTATGTACTCTGCTGGCCTCCCACTCAGGTCAACTCATCAGCCGTCATACCATGCTTCCCAGAGCTCAACGGGATCAAGTACGACATCTCCAGTGAGTTTGTTCTCGAGTACACAGAGTTACAAAGTTGATACAATGAGTTTGATAACTAGGAGTTTCAAGCATGGCAGCTGTTTGAAGACATTTCATAGAACAAGTTTGTGTTTGTGCTTGAAGTGATTTTTTTGTCCCCTAAGGAATTTTAATGTAACGGGGGGGGGGATTTAATATCATGTGCCTTAGAGCAGCCTCAGTGGTTTCTTCACGTACTAATGTACGAACATATAACTCTTCTTAAACCTAACTCTATTGGTTTTATATGTTGTGAACTTCTGATACATTTTGGGAGTTTAGTGGGATTTTCAGATATATTTATCTATCCATTGTTAATACCATGGGCGAATGTTGTATGCCATATTCTCGACTACAGCCTAGGAAGCTACGAGCATTTCGTAAAATGCTAAAACGTACTCCATCTTTTAAAATTGTTGAGATAATTTCCCACACGTCTCACTTAAAGGCAGTACAATATAACTTCTAGTGCAAACCAAAACAAGTCGTTGACCATAAAGGGGTTGCAATGATTATAAACTGTATGAGCAACAGCTATTTCCGTGTTACAGAGAACGCTACCAGATGGTGTCACAGTAACGGGTCCTGGGATGAGTACTCGGACTTCTCCTCGTGCTCGCCCGTCTCTGGGGTGGAGTCTACTCTGCCCAAGCTGCTGTCTCCGGTGGAGATCACCACAATTCTGTATATTACCGGATACACAGTCTCTCTAGTCGCACTTCTACTGGCAGTCACAGTGTTCGTCTACTTCAAGTGAGTTCTGTCTTTGACTTTAGGTCCTGTAGTAAACTACTCATTCTGATGAACAATTTTAAAAATCTGGTTGGAATAGAATGAAGTATATTGGATCTTGACTAGATACTTTCCTGGCATCTTATATATTAAAAAAATATTGGTTTTTCTTTTCCGAGTTCGATTGGCTCTTCTACACGACTGATTTTCATGATTGAGGTCTCAAATCGAAGGTATGCACGCACAGATTTGCCACCAAGCATCGGCATGTATTTCTCTATAATCCCACTCGGCATATACGTAAACGAAATTTGCTCCCCATGTATTTATGGGAGTTAAATTTGGTTTTTATTTTCGAGTTCGTTTGGCTTTTCTACCCGACCGATTTTCATGACTGAGGTCTCAAATTGAAGGCATGTTCACCAAGTTTTCACATAAAGCATCGGCAAATATTTACATACTGTATTACTCGACCAAAACACATAATTTGATTTATTTTCTAATTCTTACTTCAATTTAAAATGTACCTTCAACAGTTAAAATTTTATAATACTATATAATTTTGTTTAAGAACCTTTAATGAAATACTGGCTTCCATTTAAGCTATTAGTTATTCAAATCGGAAGAGTTTCAAGCAAACGCAAGGTGAACAACCAACATAAAAAGTATTTTTCATAAGGTTTTTATATGATTAAAAATCAATAGATCCAGTATTTTTCATGTTTTTCTATATGTTTTAAACTCAAAATAATCAGTAAATTATAGGCTTTAATTTGAGATATTGATCGTTTGATTCAGTTAAGCTCAAGATACTGTATTATTCAATAAAAAATCATAAATTTGATTATTTCTTGGATATTATATTTATTTTAACCCTGCGGAGCAGCATGGGTCCTCTAGGTAAATGTTAAATGTTTTTCATTTTAGTAAAAACCCGATATTAAAGAAATAGTATCTAATGTACCTACTATTGCCGATCACACTGGTTATTGAATAAAAAGTAAAAATTTATCTATGTTTCAAAAGAAACTTTTTGCCCTCAGTGGGGCGGAACACAAAACCATTGACTATAAATATTTGAGATAAAAACTTAGCCGGGATAAATCCGTGACCCGTTAGTGTGGTGAATCTATAAGGTATTTTTCATAATTGATTAAGATAATTCAACTAGACTTGGTAGACTGGTTGTTTTACAAAATCTAAGGATTTTTTTAAATTTATTTTACTACTGGTGAACGTCAAATACAGGTTATGGTAGAAACCAAAGACTAACAGGCCTGTAGAGCTGCGGAAGTAATAATAAACACATTGTAACGAAAAATACTCCAAATTTAGAGATCTCGTTGCCTAGCGTTCCAAATGATTGATTAGATATTAGCGATGCTAATGCATTTTCACAATGTAAAGTGAATTAATATCACTAAATTGGGTAACGTGATATTAATTCACGGGTTATACTATTTATTGAAAATGGTCAAAATAATTAATTTTTATTATCAGCCACTCATTTAACCAGTTTCGTCAATCTGTTTAAAACTTACCTCATTAAAATCCTACAACGGATTTAAAAAAATTGTTATACTGTTAAAATTATTTTAATCACGCAGTAAAACCAAAACATAAAACGAAACTACAATTGTTCTTTTTTACTTGCAATCTCATAAAAGTATGGAAGTATGGTCATGGAAGTGGTAAGTTTTTACATTGTTAAAAGTGATCAAGTTTTGGATTCCTTCATAGTTTCACTCACAGTAAGTATTAGTTTAATCATTCTAGTTAACCACTTTGAATTAAAGATTTAAAAAAATAAAGTTTAAATTAAACCAGGGGGTTTGGTCAGTTATTACTTGAAAATTGTAGAGTAACATAGGAACCATAAAGTGGGATACTGCAATTACAATAGTTAGTTCCGTAATAGTAGTTAGTTTTAATTGCATATTTGTTTGCTGGTTCTGTAGATGGACGTTCTACGTGTTACTGCCGAACTCAAATTTCTACCTCTACTTTATTTATTCGCCTCTTTGTTACAGAACCATGTTTATACATTTGTTAACTGATGTACAAATTCATGTTGTAAATTTGAAATTATTGTGATTTAGCGATGGGTTGTTATGTATGGTATACAAAAAACTTTATGTACCTACATAGGGGTCAGAGTTTGTTTAACATTACGTTGTTCTAAGCAAATGTTATTAGTCTACGGGTTCATTCAATTGATATTCCTAAGTTTCAAGTTTCCTAAGTTTCAAGTTTCCTAAGTGACAAGCTAGGTGTCTACAAAAACTTATGTAAAAATTTATAATCTATAATAGAGGTGTTTTCTGTTCCGGGTGAACGCAGCCTGCTGAACCACGTGAGATGCAATTTGACACAAAGCTAGATAATGGGTCCTTGCCAACACAAAATCCGTCCGTGGATGTGTAAAGTTTTAAAGCAGAACTTGTAGGAACATGCTACCTACTACATGCTTACCTTGGCAAAGCTATTGGTGTTCTACAAAATAAAAAAAATAGGAATTAGTTTCATCTTGAAAAATCAAATAAAAATGGTAATACACATTCGTAATGTAATTAGGTGATATATATTTTATACTTGTTCTTTTATGCGAATAATTGAACTGATTAAGTAACAGTATTCCTCGTGATATTGCAGAGATCTGAGGTGCCTGAGGAACACTATCCACACTAACTTGATGGGGACTTACATGCTGTCAGACACCGTATGGATGCTTACTCACCCCATACAGGTGAGAGTAAGGGCCGACACAATGGTGAGGCTGTTTAATGTATAGTTATTGCTACTGAGTAAATGGGCCGATTATTTATTAAATGCATGTTATTTGTCACACTATACATACTTAGTAAACGGAAGCTCCACTCAATTAGACTGCCTTCTTTAAGCTATCTTAAGCTATCTTTGATATATCTAAACGATTTGTTGGAATAACATCCACCTTTTGGATTTGGATTGGATGTTCCCACGTTGAATTGAAAAAAAATGTTTGCTTAGTGTAGTTGATATTTGCAATCATAAAAAATATGGGTTACGAAATAATAAATTATGTTATCCAAACGTACAGTTGAAAATCATGTTTATGATGAACTGTTAATTATGTTCGCACAAAATGAAAAGCAATTACCAATAACTGTTGTTATTAGATTTCGGGAAACAGGTCAAAAGTATATTGGCGTTCAGTAATGGGTTAAGCCCAATAAATGATTCAGCAGGTCCTTATTAATAACTAAGCTACCCAATATCACATCCACCCCACTCCTCTTTCACATAATTTGTATAATTACTATACCAATGACTTTGGATGCTATAAAAAGGCATGGTATAAGTTTGTTTCGGCGTGCGTTTGATATCATGTTACTCTAACGCTCATTAATAAGAGAGTAAGTTTCTATCTTATTTTACGTACAAAATCAAAAATAGGACTTGTAGCATTGATATATTTACACTGTACTGTACAAGTACATATTTGCAAAATAAGTTTAAAAATATCGACGATTTTTAAAGGTGGTCTTTTTATCCGTATTAGCACCAATCAGGATTTTTGTTTTAGGAAATTACATGGTGTTTTAATGCAACCCAAGTAACAAGTTTATAGTACTGTTTAGGGACAAGCTCATAAGTTGGCAGCCCTGCTTCTATTACTGCATTACTGACCAGCTTAGTTTAGCTTAACTTAGTTAAGTGTTGTTAGGGATTTATTTAATGCCAGAAGACAACCAATTGTTTAAAGGATAAATTATTATTTGATTTTTATAAAGATGAATTTTCTGGTAAAACTATTAATTAATATATAAGATAGCAATATATTTGATTTGATGTAAATCAATTATTTCCTCATATAACAACAAATGGCTTTTAAATTTATTTATCTACGAGTTGTGGCTATCTTTAAGTACCACAGCTAGCGTTTAGATATTGTAGCTGTCAAAGTTCTATACATATAATTTGAACCGATATTTGTTTGTGTAGATGTACCAGACCAACGAAGGCACGCTAGGCCAGGAATGCACGGTAACGATACTCACACTGAACATAATACTTCACTATCTGTATTTAACAAACTTCTTCTGGATGTTCGTGGAAGGTAAGTTTTCATTTATGCAATGAAATCGAACTAAGAACATTAATTCAAGGTCACACTTAAAGATTCCAGGCGACATTGATCTCTTCCAGGAAAAACTTACTTCAACTGGTCTACATAGTATTTAAGATATTATTCATTCCGTAAATTTCCAATTACGTAAATGAAAAAATAAGTTTTGAACGACGCTTTGGATTTTTTAAATTCCCAGTGGAAATCTTTGATTGAATACAAGATGGACCACAATCTCAAGCTACATGGGTTATTGTACAGTCTCCAATATAAAGCAATCCACGCTGCAGTAAACGTTTATAGTCTCTAAAATACACTTTAATTAAACTCAAGCTAGAAGTTTACTTTAGAGTTACTACACTGTTAATGGCCCTAGGTCATATATTTAATTTAACGAGGTTTCTGCTTTAAAAGTTATAAAGACTGTTCAGTACACCGTTACAGTTATGAACAAAATTCAACCTTAAAGTTAATTACCTGTTTTGCTTTCAGGGCTGTATTTGTACATGTTGGTAGTTAAAACGTTTGCAAGACAGAATCTGAAGTTGAGATCGTATGCTTGCATTGGATGGGGTAAGATATTTGATTTTTACTTTAAAATAATACGAAAGGTGGTTTTGATGAATGAAGGTGGTATATACATGATGGATAAGCTTTGAATATGGTTCATCAGAATTTCAAAGTTGTAGCCATTAAAGATAAAAAAACAAAATTGCGCTAAGCACATGACAGAGAATGCTAATGTCAATAATCTATTTCTTTTGAACATCAAACGTTTATCAAGCTAAACTGAAAGGTAAATAGATTGTACCAAATTGCATCTTCGTCACTAATGATAAATAAGATGTATATAGTCAGACCTGGTGTTTAATCATATCTTAATCATGGTATCACAAACTAAGGGGGAAAAAGATTTAGTTAAGAGGCGAAAACAACAGATCGCAAAATAAGTGTAACACAGGTACCTTAAGCCTTTATCAATTTAAAAGATCGTAAGGTCAATCTGTATGATATTTTGAATTTTTACTTTAATCCTTAGGGTCAAAAGTTATGCTTTGATCTTCAAACCTTCTCATTTATGACATAAAAATACGGCAAATAAACTCTGATTTAATGGATGTCTATCTTTCAACTTTGCCCATCTGGTTTGACGTAAAACTCGGAGCAGTAAAGACGATTCATGACGTCACTTAATGACCGGGAACTGTTACAAAGTAACTACGGAACATCGTGACTGTTGTACCTGTTATAGCTTCAGGAAGTCACTAATGTAACGAACGCTCCGTGTTGCTTGTACTTGCAAATGGCAAATAAAACTAAAAGAAACTGCAAAACTTTATTTAGCCTATGTAGTTTGTAGTATGTAGTGCTGAAATAAAAATGTCTAGTGGATGTACTGATGCCGGTTTTTAATAACCTCTCGACTAGTATTGAAATGTTTGTGCAATTTATTGGATGATTATAATAGACGTCTTTCAACAATAATCGATCATTTTTCACCAATACTCTACAAACTTTTGCCAGACGTTAAATAAAAACACAATCAATTTCAACCATTCACAATGATAAACAAGCATTATCGGAGACAGTTACAGAATATATTATTATATAATATATATATGTGTATATATAACTGCAATTTTCTATCCTAAGATTTCTCAAGGGTGATTTAAGTCGCCATTTTGTATGCTGACGTATAAAGTTGCCTCTCTTCCATCTAAGACAATGACTTGATCCTGACAAAGTCTCAGGTATAAAGCTTCAACCGCAGTCTTTACAGCACCTTGAAAGTTTACTGCTTTAAGACAACAGTCTTGGCCCTAAAAGATGACCCTGCTTCCAACTTTGCTGCAAGATACTAGAGCACTTAGAAAGGTGTTTTTTATTCATTTAGTTTTCATACATATTAGGCCCCAGGCTAGTTTTTGAGATACCATAAACAGGTTTTGGTATTTTACTATTTACAAAATACTAATATTACGTGTAAAAATCCTATAAAAATACACTCTTAGTAGCAAAACATGTGTTTCTTTTATTTAGGGGCCTTTATACTGTACAAAAATTGATGGCGTATAATCATAGACAAAAAAATTAAACATAGACCGTCAGCCGTGCTGCGATTAGCATAGGTTTTGGCGTGCACCGCTGGGAGCGCCGTGTAACTACACGGCGTAACTACCCTCCCTGTTGCAGCAAACCTAAGTACGCGTTATACTAATTCTATTTAAATCGATAAAAAACGAATCCCTTTTTGATGATATTCCACAACTCGAGAACGAGTGCACTGAATTGGATGATTCTTTTGTTGTTGTGTTCCTTAGTGTCAGGGGAAGGTTTTTATGTAAAAAAATTATAATCCATCCCCTGGATAACATGAGCTTTAAATGAATGTATTGAAATAATCACTGCATATAGTCTGCCATTGAAGTTGTTAAAAAAATAATTAGGTTGATGAGGAAAAAGGTAAGCTATATGTTTTATAAAACTGTCCTTTTATGTTTGTTTTTGTAATTTTTTTAGGATAGTATGAACGCAAAGAATTACGGTATTTTACAGCATGGAACTCAGTTTCTATACATGTCAAGAAAGGGCGTATGGCGGCCCTAACCTTACCTGTATGAGTAAACAACGTTTCATCATTTCATATTTTATTTTATATTCTCTCGGTGTCTAAGCTCACAAAAGTTGATTTATTCAACTTGCCAAAGCATTAAAAAGCGACCGGAATTATGCTTTGCAGTTAACTGTATATATTGTGGATACAATCAAAGATTAAATTTCGTACAAAGAAAACCAAATGCAAAAAACATTCACACGACGAAAATGAACAAACCACGTGCCATGAAATGTTAGCCATTTTCTAATACTTGCTCGTTAGCTTCCCCAAGATATAATGCCTGGCCATTGAGGACACACATTATAAACCTAGGATATGCAGCTATAAACTAACACCATAAAGCCCGCCATGCTAGTGTTCAAGCTCATTGTTTTAGGAATTTGCTATTGCTTTAGTTAAGGAAGTATAAACGTCATCTTATATCTAACACGGAACTAAAATAAGTCATTTACGAACCTTATAAAGGACAACGTGATTAAGTGGTTAGAGGAATGACTTTGATAGGATATAATAAACCAGTGATGACATTTGGCTGTCTATCAGCACTATTATATTTAGTTACTTTGTTGCATATTTAGTGAGAAAATTAGTTGTTGTGACTGTTTATAAATTGAACCAATAAATGGTTTTCTCTTCTATTTTATGAAATTTTAACATCAGGATATTTAGTTGAAGACTTTTTCAGGTGTTAAAATATTTTATCTTAAATACACCTTGATTTATTTTTATTTATTTTATTTTATTTTTGGTTTATTATGTGGATGTTAACTATGTTTTTTTTGGGAAACCGTACAATCCATGCACCAACACCATTACCATTGGTGTTGGTTGTTGTTATTACCATCCAATGTCGACCTTTTGTTGGATAGCATCATTAACCATCGATATATAACTACTACCGAGTAGTCATATATCGATTAGAATTAGCTATATATCGATGACATTAACTGATAGTCAAATATGTTGTATAATCAGTCAGCAACAAATTTTATTGGATTTTATTACTATTTATTATGCCATAGCATAAATCTTAACTCTTAATTTGAAGAATTGTTTTCATCGATTGTAAGTCCAATTAACTTTTACCAACGATTTTAATTTTTAATTTTGTCATTAATATTTTTGCTGTAGTTTTAAAAAGTCGTCCTTTTTAGCAAATTTGCCATAAAGCGTTTACCTCAACTCTCATGGTAACCGCTAGACCAGGTACCGATTTTCTCTTTTGTTTTGATGTCCCTAAAGCCAAAACATCATCCTTTCAAAATCAAAATATACATTTACATAAATTTATACATTTGTCCGTTAGCAAGCTGGACTCGAGTGCCGATTTAGATTAAATCTGCTACAGACGTGTAAATCTACAATCTTTCGAACGAGTTCACGAACCAGCATGATCGTAAGATCTGTAGCAGCAAACCTAAGAAATCGATAAACCAAATGTTATGTAAATAGAAAATGAATGTGACTAGCTTAAGAAAATATTCTACTAAAAATCTAATAATGTAAATTCGCTTTGTGTGCAGGTTTAATATGTTGAGTGTATTTGCGTGTTGTTTTATATTGATAGTTGATTAAATAGTTCATCTATGGCTATATTATTTCATTGTACCTAAAGATGTAGGTATAGAGCTTTGCAACTATATAAAAATTGACTTTAGATAAATTCCAATGAAATAAACTTAAAGTATAACTAGCACCTATTTTAGAAATTGTATTTTTCTCTTAGCCTATTAAACTATGATAGTTTATTTATTTGATTCATAATAAACTAAAATCTCAAATAAGTTGAATTAAATCAAATAAGCTTTGTCTTGACAAATAAATAATAGATAGATATAATATATAGATATAATATAGATAGATAGAAATAAATAGATTTTATTTTATACAACAAATCTTAATTTGTTGTATAAAACAACAATAATTGAAGGCAACACACTCTGTCGAAGGCCCAATCAGTAGTACTAATTAATACCATTGACTAATACACAACACTATATACATTTCTACTTTATTACTGTCCAAATTGTTAGCGCGGGATTCCAACGTTTAATTGAATGTTCTTTCTATTCCATAAGGGAATTGCTCAAAAGTGTTCACCATTCTCATAAGTAGTACAATTGTTCCATTATTAAATTTGTTACAGGAATTCCTTTGATAGTAGTGATCGCCTGGATCATTATCAAGAGTGTGTTCACCAACGACGCGCCTACTGAAGGTCCATTGGAGGTAAAAAATAGTTCCAAAAAATATTACCTGTAAAACGTTTGGAGTTTTTACTCCCCATTGACATTAAAAAATAATCAATCGGAATCTTGAGAGTAAGTCTTTTACACCATTTTTCACAGGCTTAGAGCAAGTCCCATTATATTTTTAAAATAGTTCGTAGCAATTATTTTTAAATAATAAGTGTATAATGTCTTGTGAACAATTTGGTAAGTATTGTTCATTGTAAATCTGTATTAAAGTTTTAAAAGCCTAGAGGATTGTCTTTTATATAGTTTTTCAGGAGTTAAAATTTAGTTGATAACAAACAAAGATTAAATTGCTTTATGTTGGGTTTATGAAACTTGGATATCACTACTTTATGCTTTAAGCCACAAAGATGAAACCTTATTAAGTCTGTAAATTGTTTTGTAAAGAAACATTTTTGATTTGTCTCATTGGATACGAAAAAAATCCAAAACCATATTCAGACTTAATTATGTTCTAATTAAATTCAGATATTTGAATAATTTCTTTAAGACCTATGTTTCTGTGTGGAAGAATCCTTCAGCACTTTTAAAAAGGTTTAACATTTTCTCTTAGGTTAGAAACTAATTCATGAACTCTAGGATAGAAATTGAACTCCAAATAAGAAGCAACTCTTAGCAAAACTTGGTAAATAGGATAAAATAATCATATTGACATGTTCATATGTGCATATTTAATTTGTTTATAAACATGTTTTATCTGGTGTTTTAATATGGTTTATCAATAAACTATTTCTTGCCATGAAGGCTAATAGTATATTTCTTACCTAGGGCCGAAAATGAGGTTTTGCTGGCTCGAGATAGTTTTTAAGTTCGAGACGAAGTCGAGAACTTAAATCGACCGAGAGCTGCAAAACCATTACGGTCCGTGGTACGAACGCTATTTTTCACCACACTATACCCTATTACCACTATTCACCACTATAATAATGCACACTGATAGTCAACACAACTATAACTTTAAGGTTATGTGAAGAAATAATTTGAGGAATCAGCAAAAATAAAAATAAATAGTTGCTAGGCAACGGTGACAATAACACAATTCTAATTCAATGCTATGGATTTTGAATGTGTATTTAAAATGCATTCATGTTTTAAGTAAGTAAGCGGACAGCTGATTTTGCGGCCCCGGCCTGTAAAAACCTGCTCGGTCCCCAAATTACGATGACAGCTGACATGGCCAGCAAAACGTAACTTTCAGGCACCAATTAACGTATGTAATACATCCAAAAACATCATAGTGTGGTGAAAATAAATTATTTTGCAAAAAGGCATTTATGAAAGCTATTTAAAAGTTTGGCCTGATGTTTGTATAATTCCGTTTTGAGTATAGAATTTTCTCACTCATAAAAACATGGTAATAGCTGTATGATATTGACAAATAAAGGTGTATTGTGAAAACCAAAGCATTCGTAAAAGGGGCCCAAATATAAATTAAAAGAAATAATTCCTTACACAACCTAAGAATATAGTGAGAGTGCATAATTGTCTTAAAAGTGTGTAGTATTTTAATTAATAAACATGTTTCTGCTGATGTGACTTGAAATACGTGACCTTGAGTATTAAAAAGTTTGCTTTATAAAATTTATTTCATTATTTTTAGTGCGTTTGAAGTCGCTTGTTTTTTTTTACAAGAATAAGTAATTTCTTATTAGATCCAAGCAGAAACATTAATTTTAATGAGACTATTTCACTTAGCTTATCTTAGGTTTTTAGTTTTGGTTTGTTTGTATTATGATATTCCAATTTTGTTTTTACGAATGTTCTTAGACAATGGTTTACAGTTAAGAACATGTCGGGAATTTAAACTTACAATTAAGTAACTAAAGGAAAACAAAAACAAAAATCTCTCCTTGGTGAAACTAATTTATACATTGCACTCTCCGCTGTGACTAAATTAAACACAATAATACACTCTTGAATGTACATTAAATATAATAATTATTTTAAGTATAAAATCTTTGTTTGAAAAGTAACACATACTGTAGCAGTATATTAACATAAACGTAACGTAGTGGCGGCTCCATCGCACAGTGTACATTGTTCTACCGTAATGTGCAATAACCGTTGAATAGATTAACTAAGCGTCATATTGTGCGGAAACAATGAAATTCAGCGTGTCAAAACTCTGATAGGGTTCTTTATATGCTGTTAAACCAGGCCGTTGTTAAAACATTACCACAACATGCCTATTGAAAATCAGAGCCTATTCACACTTAACTTATCTGTTTAAACCACTCTGGACGCGTTTTAGCCCCTGCAAGGAAAGGGGGACACGTTTGGCAGTGGATTTGATTTGATCACATGGATAACGATTAAAAGTAGCTAGATACTCACAATGGCTGTGAAAGAAATGTGTAAAGAAACACTTTAAAGCACTGGGATTCTAAATATGTGTACGTTTCTTTTTTTTAGTTCAAAATCCGCTGACTCTATTAAACAGGGTATATTAAAAACATCACAGAGAACTTTTACTTTGGTATATTTAATTAGAGGTCACATTGATGAAACATATTTTAGAGTATAGCAATAAAATATGAAATCGATGTGGAATTAAAGGATACAAGAACATAATCCATCTAAAGGTTGAACCCACAATTGAATACATGTATGAATACATGAATGTTAAGTAAAACTTAAAATTTGATCAAATGGGCATTAAATAAAATTATAAATTATGTACTACTATGTACATATAATGCTTCCTCACCCACTGTAAATGTTTACTGTCTTTTTTATATGTAAGAAAAATATTTGATTAACTGTAATATTAGTTCGGTATCGATTAGGCACTTCAATCATCCTCATACTTATTAGGTCAATGCAATCAGTTAGCGTCCCTACTTAAATACCAATTTGGTACAACTTCTTTTGGAGTTTATTTAGTAGTAAAAAATAAGCTTTTTTAAGTCCCAATACAATCGATAGTAGCCAGTTCATTGATACGATTATTCTTATTTTAATTTTTAGTTCGTAACTATACTTGTTGTACTGTTTTATAAATTTCCAACTTTCTCTTCCTTAAAATCAATAAATCTTAGTACATTACCATTTTTAAACACACATTTATTGAAATTTGATCATTAGCGTTATGTTTTCACAAAATACTGAAGAATTCTCTTCATGGTGTATCGATTCTGCTTTACACATAGGCCTTGGGTGCGCAGCGGAAAATTCTACATTTAGTACTTGTAATGAACACTATTCTATTGTTTTAGTTCTAAGTTTGATTGTCTACTTTCGAAATAATAAATCTACATTATTATATATTGCGATTTCTGGTGTTCCCAGGCACGCTTGATCTCTGCCATGATGCCTCAATGTTCCATGTTGGTGCCCGACGTGTACGACTGGATATATCAGGGACCGATGCTTTCTGTTCTCCTCCTAAACATATTCTTCCTCTGTAGTATCATGTGGGTATGTTTCCTAACACGGCTTAGCGAATTTTAGAACTAGCAATTCTACCATTATTTGGAAAAGAGATTTTTAACAAATATTTTTCATAGTTTGAGTATTTCATGTTGGTAGATAATTTGCTAATATTGTTTATATTTAATACTGCGAGGAGGCTTTTAATCAAATTGTAAATTGTGAAGCGTGCCAATGCGTGTGGTTTACACATAGTACGGTAAAGCTGTAATGCATTTGCGATCATGAGTTACTCTTTTATTTTGAGATAACAGCAAAAACAGCATTTTTTATGCATGCGTTGTGGGTCTAAAAAGTATTTTTAGTCCCTTCGGTATAAATTCAGCTGTTGAGAATAGTTGTAAATTTTGATTGTCAGTAATTGCATTGATCGAAATTATTTATCAATTAATTTATTATAATGTTAGGTCGTTGCATTATCGTCAAAAGTTCAACATATCAATTGTATAATATACAGTAACACAATTTGAAATGTAGTAAAGTAACAAGAAATTAATTGAACTGATTAAATTATAATGATGCAAACAAGCGTATTTGGGCTTGAACCTTGGACATACATTGTGGTCTATGTTGTTAGTTAGATCACGTAAAACAACATGGTTAATTTTTCTTCCTATCCTTCATGACCCCTGGGAATTTAGTCGAGAACCGCTCTTTTGGTGACAGCCTTCTTTTTTCAGACAGTGTGTGTATCTGGTTCACTTTATTTCCTATTAATAAAAATTGGTTTCAAGGAAAACTCTAAAAACTGCCTATCCATATTGTGTAATTCATGCAAATGAATTTAGAGGACACTCAATGTTTCTACGCAATACTGATAATAACGAATTGTCTGATACAGGTGCTGATAACCAAGCTGAGATCAGCCACTAATGCGGAGACTCAGCAGTACCGCAAGGCCACCAAGGCACTGCTGGTGCTGATCCCACTGCTGGGAGTCACTTATGTTCTGTTCCTTGACGCTCCCACAGAGGATCACTTAGCAAGCTACTATCACAACGTGCGAGCCCTCTTGTTGTCTATACAGGTGGGAGGATCACACGAAAACATGCGGGGATAAGGTTTTAAGTCTTGGCGTGTCCGACTTACAGGTGTAAAATAATTATATTACTAATGTATTTAGTAGCTGCAAAATTTCGTTTAAACGATTCTCCACACATTTATCTTGAAATAAATATTAAAGGTCAAAGGCGAGCATTTCACAACGCCTTGTTCAGCTGTCCTCCAAGGTTATTAAAGTCTAGGCTTATCCTACGAAGAAAGGTTGACATGACAAACATTAACAGGTTATTCCGGCACTTAGCATCACTACTAGATGACCAATCTTCTACTCCCATGCCAGACTTTCATGCACCTGAAAACTGTTTCAACCCCCGAAACCCCTCCCCTCCTTCTAGAAGAAAAGACAAATCACAATGAGATTCATTTAAGAAAATGTTATTGATTATTTGAGACTACCAACTGTATGATCAAGATATTTCTCTCTGTTGTATCTCTATCGCTTTTGTTCTTAAACATGATAGCGGCTCTGACTGATAAACCTAATATACGGGTTTCTTTAGGTAAGTAAAATCATAGAATAATATTACTTCATCTATGGTAAAAGAGTGTTAAGTTCAGCTCCGTATGGTAAATCTTCTATTTTGTCTTTGTAATTCACAATTAACAACGACACTTTATAGATATAAAGTGTCTAAATCACCGCACTTACAACAACGTTTTCAAGTGATAAGTTAGGTGATTAACATTTGAAAAATATCCAATATTTATCCAAGCGGTGCTTGTCTGGTGATAACACCATGATAGGGGATTTGGATCTCCTTTGAAGCTGCAAGTGCACTATGAAGCAAATTTGGATATGTTTACCGAATCAGAAGAGCTTACTCTCTATTGGATCTATTTAGTATTAAATCTATTTACAGTATTAATGAAGTTCTAGCAATTAAAAATCTCATTATAAGGCTTACTACTATATAGGCCCCCTACTAGTTGTTCTGGGTTCTTGGTGGTGTTGATATAGGTTTATGGTTAGTGGTTACTCTTTCACTATTGTTTCCAAACAGAAAAATACCTTAAATTTTTGAGTCTACAGTATACTTGATATCTTGCAGGGGTTCCTTGTGTGCCATCACTGTACACACAAGAGTGAGGTACAGAACACGTTGATGCACCACCTAGCCCAGTGGAAGGAGGTTATGCTTGCCGAACTCTACGTTCACCAAACAGAAAAATACCTTACATTTTGGAGTCTACAGTATACTTGTTATGTTGCAGGGGTTCCTGGTGGCACTCCTCTACTGTTTTCTCAACAGTGAGGTACAGAACACATTGAGGCACCACCTAGCCCAATGGAAGGAGGCTCGAGATCTGAATATGGGGCCTCGCTACTCCACCAGCAAAGAGTGGTCTCCGTCCACGCAGCAGGAGAACATAAGGTTTGTCACGTGATTGAAATCTGCCACAGCAGTATTGGGTCTACTGTCTACTGTCTGTGTTGCATAAGTTTTATATAGTTCTGTAATATTGAGAGGAGCTACTTACATTGAAACAGTCGCTTTAAAAATAGGTACCATATTCGTGTATTCCTGCTCAATGTTGTACAACGTTAAGTTGGTTTAAGACTTCTTAAATTTCATTTAACGAGGTTAAATTTAATAGTTGAAGGTATACAGTTCTGCTGTCAAAGTAATACGTTGAATATTATTACACACTTTTACGTGATGAGCTTAGCCCATCTTCAGATTAATACGTCAAACTACTTTTTCGCTACACTACTGTGAAATGGCCTGTTTTCATTACATGTTTATCACTTTGCTAAAGATTAAATTATTACCTTAAACGAACAGTCTTTTACTGTTAAAAAGGTTCAACTTCTCTTTAATCAAAATTTCGATTTATTTTCAAGGTTTGCTGTAGAACACCACTGTAAACATTTCTCATTTCACAGGTTGTTTGAGCCGAGCAAGTTCTTCAAACGTAAACGGCAGATGAGTGTCAGTGAGGCTACGACTATGACGGTCCTGGGACATAGTCGAACCAACGGCTCCTACAGCGAGGGTCCGCCATTACTTCATGGAGAGAATCAGCTGTAGCTCCAGTTGTAACTGGAACAGCTGCTACTACAGTTGACACTACAAACGCAGCTACTGTTTGATCTTTGAACAATACCTCAGCTCTAGTTACGCGAATGTACATCTGAGATTTTGATCACGGTGGCTTCGATGTGGGAGTAACTACTCTAACATTGTAGCTCCAGCTGAAGCAGCGTAACTCTTAACCATAGCCAAAGTATGATCTGTGAATATAGCCAAAGTTACACTAATCTGTATCTAAGCACAGACCATATTATATGTTTTCTGTGATCTAAGGCTGTAACTAGAGTCCCATCTACCGATCTACCAACTATGACTGCGACAGTTGTTCTATCTAGAACACAACTTGCAACTACTAAAGGTGTAACTACAATAGTAGTTACAGTCTGAACTGTGTTCCGAAGTAGGTATTGAAACTAAGACTAGTTGCATATTACAGTTAGACAACTGTAATATGCAGCTCCAGTTTAAATATAAACGGCTGAAGTAACTACACTCATAGCTACAGTGTGACCTGTGAGTATAGCTGTAACTCAAGCTACTCAAGACTGTATAGCTAGAGTAGCTAACTACAACTGTAACATTTTAAGCAATAGTTGGAACATCAATTGAATCAGCAGCATGTCCTACTACAAACTGGCATACAGTCTGGATTTTAAACGGAGTTGTAACACCAAATCTAGACGCATCTAACGCAGATACTGAACAGCTCAAACTGTAACATTGTAACTTCAGATGCAACACAATCTGCATCTAATATAGGGGAACTATGAAAGTGGCAAAACTGGTCTGAACTGTGTACATATAATAGCTTCAACTCTAAAGCTATGCACAACTAATATGAAGCACAGCTTCACGTTCAACTACATTTAAAATACGTGCAGTGATAACTGCAAGTAATAAATGTAGAACAGCGACTAAAGTTTAACACATAACTAGAGAAGTTAAAAACTTTTATCTTTTAACTTCGTTGTAGTGTTTCTACTTTTGAACCCAACCTGAAACTTCTAATATAAATTAACTAGCATTTTATACATTTCTTAATACCGGCTGATCGGAATATTATGTTACAGTTAAGGGTAGAGAGATTGTGCCATGGTTTATCGTGTTTCAGTAAAATCTGATATGATTGCAACAATATCAGTAACACGGCCAGGATTTTGAACCTTACAAAAACCGTTATAAATGCCACTGACGTAGATAGACACAATGGATAATACAACCATTGTCTTATACAGTGACAAAGGCATTGAACAATGTTCTGCCTTGCGTAAAAAATATATATTTCAAACAAATTAAATAGGTTTACTTACCTTACGTCGTTGATCCTTACTGTAGTCTCAGACAAATTCAACGATGCCCGAGAATACAATAGGAATGACGACGTAAACCTATTTAATTTATCATAAATCAATCCTGGAGGCAATGCTGAATAGATATATTTATTCACCAAAATATTTTTCCGAAGAATGAAATAAAACCAAAACGACAACACTATACATTCAGTCTCGTTGTTACGGTACTGTACTGCTTACTATAGACGTATGTCACATAATATTGCAAACAATTATTATTTACAGAAATATTGATTACAGTACTTGAAGATGTTCAATCCATGTAAGCTTCTAAGTTCTTTGTAAATTGGATACAATGCTATCAACAGTTTCCCGATTTTTTATTTACACCATGAATAACAAACAATTTTCGTTCATGCGTACATAGCAGAACACCATAATGTTAATATGTTAATCCGATGCAACTTAGCAATACTTCCCTTAAAATTTAATTACAGACGTCTTTTTAGGCGGCTAAAATTGTTTGTAAATACTCTTAAATGGTGCTATAATAATGTGCTAGCTTAGATCTTTTTAATCTGTAAATTGTATTGTATTGTATGTAGGTTAGATATACGTGATGTGAATGTATTGTATGTATTTTCACTGTATTTTAATTATATATTTTTTGTAATAAAATTGTTCAAATTTGTTAAATTTTTTATCGACCCACAAGAATTTGGAGGATCAGAGAAACTACGAATGAATTGAAATACTAATTTTATAAATTCAATTAATGACTTCAATGACAGTAAGTTTCAGTTAGCGAGACCCTGTTATACCCAAATGTGTACAATATAAAGTTTTAAATTATAGAACAGTTTTTTGAGGCAATAGCAATGATGCTCAAGTAATATATTTACGAAACAACAAATTATCCCCGAAATCAATCATATTTAAAGCCTATTTTAACAAGTACTGTAAACAAGTTAATTATTCAAAAACATTGACCCAATCGTTAGTTCGACTAAAAATAACTTTAAATTTCCCAGTCATTGTAAGAAATAGCTAGTTACATGAAATAGCATTCACCTCAGCCTAAACAAAACCACTTGCCCTAGCATATACGGTATATAGTTCTCAGCTAGTCTTCAATACAACCCCACAAGAAATTGGAAACTTACTAAACCATATTAGAAAAAACTCAAGAAAATACAAAAAAGTTGTGAATTTAAAATCACCATGTTATTCTTATGGAGAATAAATAAACTGTTGTAGTTTGCTTGTTTATGAACATATTTTGAGCAAAATGTTGAATACTTTTTCATTGCATACTTAACTACATATTTAAATGACACAAAACCCCTTTTTAATCCTCCCTGTTGCAGCAACTCTAAGGTATCGCTAAACTAATGCTATTTAAATAGGGATTAAACGGTGATTAAACGGGAACGGCCATTATTTTTACGGTGATATTTTAATGTAAATTCAATCAGGCAAACGGAAATTTGTGTAGTCTGCATGTTTGCTGCGGTGGGGGTATTATTTAATATTTGTATAATTGTTATGTTTTATTTTTATACATGTTGTTTGGTCATAATGTTTCAATGAACAATAGTAATAGTCATTGAATCATGTATATTTGAGGTTCCTTACACAAACAGTAGGAGATAAATTGAGACAAAAAGTAACGGTAGTTGTTTAAAAAGATTTGTATTAATGAGTTAAAATAATATATTTCGATCATTTGGAGGTCATGTGCATACCCTCATAACATTTACAATAAGAGTGCTACATACACTATAGGGTGGTTTATGAGACTCTACTTATAGTCCAGTCGTATTCGGATTTTGGTTTAAATAATTCCCTAAACGGGGAAACTTTGCACATGTGTATTAATAGTACCCATTATCAACATATTAAAAACCAACATTCGTGCATGCTGTGCTACAGCCACTATATTGGAAAATGGTGGCCAACTTTAACTTTTTTGAACATAATTCTTTTGAAAACAAAATTTTGTTCATACAAAAGTTTTAGAACACACAAAAATATATATTTTTAAGTTCTTCAAATATTTACCCTATCTCTAACGGTTATAGAGGGAGAAATTTAATACATATCCTATTGCAAATAAAACAATGAGCAGTTCAAAAAAATTTAAATACCTCATGTCGTTGAATATGATCCGTTTTGATTTCTGTTTCATGGTATATAGGTGATGCATGTCGATCTATATCAATACTCATAAAGATACCACTCAGTCTGTGTTCTGCGAGGAAACTCGACACGAAAGAGTTCTGTATAATGCCGCTAGACTACAGCACTAGTTGACAACGGCCTTCTTTCTCACAAATTCTCAGTCTCAGATAACGAGTTACTTTTTAGCACAATGATTTCCAAAACGTCTCCTATGATTTCGAACGCAAAAATGCGAGATTATTTAGGCCTATAATGGTTTTCAATGACTAGAGACGACAAGGTCGTGCACAAAATGTTGTGCATAGCACCGGTACGTGAGCATGATAACATGTTATTATATAATTTGATGTATAATTTAGTCTGTAATGTATATAATGGGAATTGTACATATGTAGGCCTGTTTTTTAACGTCTACGTCTACTACAAATTAAACACCACGAACAATACTTGGCCCCTCGTGCCTTGCTATTATTTGCAATTGTAATTTATATCATTGTCTTTTTAAATGCTTGGTTGAAAAAGTAGTGATCCACAAATTAGGCATATATTTGTTTATTATTAGGGATAACTATAGCTGTGGGTAGTCATATTAATAGTCAGAGGATCGTAAATTTATTTTCATTCAATGTTTTTTACATTTGTCTATATTGAATCAGTGCAATAAACATGCATTAAGTCTTACATTTTCGTTGTTCTCAGTTTTAAGACTACTTATTGTGTGGTTTACTTCTACTTTTACCAGAACAATAAAAGGAAAAAAAACTCACCAGAAAGTTGATTTAGCAACAATTAATCGTTTGAGAAAAAAATGTAACTAAGGAAGTAAATTTGTTTTAAGAATATTTTCTGAATGGAATTTAAAATATTACACAAAATAATAAACTATTTAATTTAAGAACTCATCAATTTACTCATATAGATTTGATGTTAAAATTCTCTTAGCTATAAGTACAAAAATGTTAAAAACCTTCTTGTAAAAAAGGGTTAAACATTTCATTGGCAGTACAGTAAAGTAACACTGTTTAACAAACGAAGCCGTACACTTAATTTTCTTCATTGTAAACCAGCTGTATATCTTACCATCCCCATGGAAATATTTGAGTTCAAAAACTCATATCTGAAAGTTATAAATTTAGAACTTTACTTTTGTTTTTACTTTTGACGTTATTATAATCTTTACTTTTTGCAATTTTCAGTATTTACAGGATGGAAAGAAAATAAGAATAATTACGATGTTTTCATTGTTCTTTAACCAAGGAAATGTAATCCAGAGAAGAAACTGTTTACAAATAGACCGCTCGTTTTGGTGGCAATTATTTTAAAATTATTTAAACAGACTCCTCGAATATTATGACGGATAACAGTATGGCTCATAAACATAAACAAATAACGTCATTGACCGACTGACCCGATAACGGTAACATCTGGTTTGACAATTATTCCATTTAATACGGATATTTTTACTTTTGGGCCAACAACGTCATTTTTTTGTGTTTATGATACTTACAGTTTTCCGTTCTAATAGCCGTGACATCATGTTAACGAAGAGAAGACACCAAAACATGTAGGCGTTACAGAACGTAAAGTACATCAAATTGTCTTCAGCTGACCCATTTACATTTTTAAATGTGACGACGAAAATAGCTTTTAAAAATATTTTCTTCAGCCAATCCATAAGATTTGGAAGATACATTGGGTGGATTGATATACACTTATTTAGGATTCCTAATCAATAGTTATTTTTAGACCCCTACAGCAAGTTACAGAGTAGAACGGTTCAAACTAGTCTGACGTCTCCCAGAAGATTGCTGCCCTCTAGAAAGTTGCTGATCACTGTGCTGAGGATGCCGTTGACCACGAGCTCCACGAAGCCGAGGAAGTATGGCTCCACGACGTCCACTATCGGAGTCAGCACGCCGCTGGAGCTGCAGCATCGCCACTCATCATCTTCCTCAGCGTCTTCGTCATCAGCATCTATCATGGCGGTGGCAGAGCTTTGGAAAAGACGTAACAGCTTAGTGTACTTTTTACTAGTATATTTCATTACTGGTGTTTTAAGTACTCCAAGTTTGACAACCCAGGAGAGCAAAACAAATTTAGCGAATATCGAAAAAAACATATTTGGCCTTGCTATCGACGCATAATATTTTTCAGCGTAGGTAGTACACTATTCATAAAATCTTACTAATTATAAAACTAACATTTTGTACACTTTACCCATTACGTTAGCTACCGGAAAGGCTTCCATGTAGACATCCCAGCTTTATGGACCAGCTGTCGTCAATTATTTATTAAAAAAGAACGTAGCTGTGTGGTTTTACTATCAAACGAAGAGATGCTACAGGAATGGTTTTTCCATTAGAGGAAACTTAGATGCAAAGCCGGTATTGATATCAAAAATCAAATAGATTTAAGATTTGTATGTGGGGTTCTAAAAACAAACGAACACTTCAGTCTGTAACACAAAGATGACACAATTAACTTTTGAGTGTGCAGTCGTCAAAGTGAAGACTAGTAAACCATGAGATTTATTCAGTAATCGTATTATATGAATGTTCGATATTTTACATCAGGTAATCATAATAAGTAATGTTTTTAGATAACACCTATAACACTCTAATCTGTATTGATTTGAATCGACTTATGTAGCACTTGCACAGATTATAGGATTTTCTCAATCCAGTTTTTCTTTTTAATTATCTAGCGTTTCAATGACTACATAAAATTTATAACTGCATATTACTAGTAATCCTTAAAGAATGTGTTCGGAAAATTTCGTTCTCCAGATTATACCACTTTTGCAATGAAATTAGCAACACAAGAATAATGTTATAACCCGTTATAACAAGATGAAGATACAGCAGGAGAATAAAAAGAATAAATTAGTTTAACAAAACAAAGCTGGACCATTGTTAAGGGTACAAAATATCTAAACTAAAAAAGTAAGAAATAAATAAAAATATCTACAGACTTTAAGTTCAAAGTGTTTTTATATACAGGACGTATTCTGTATTCATAATGACGAGTGATGAATCTGTGAAGAGAATAATATGTCTCTTGTTTTGAAAACAACAACCTAACCCCATCAACAGTTAACAACAGTTACCTAACCTCTGATGAAGGTTTAGTAAACCAAGAATGTTTACTTCATGAACTTATAGAAGGAATTGCATGGACGAAGGTATGGGAGGTTGTATTATTTTCCTATTGTCTACGCTTGTGGCAATTAAGGAATCGAAGGTACACGAACAGTTGTAGGTGTTGAGAATTGTTGCATTTACCTGTGGTCTGACCTGGACGCCTGTAGTGTGAAGGTAAGAGTCAATCGTCTGTCGTGATCGGTGATGTTACCCTTGATTGTGACCGATGAAGAGGCCTGCAGTAGGGTATCTGCCAATTCTGAACCCTCCTGTAGCCACAAAGCTCAACTTAAAATAACTACACAAAATTATACAAAAACAATCAATATAATTGTCCACGCGTCGTAGCTAGGTGAAGGAGCATAAGAGTATATAATAATAATCAATAACATTTGTGTTGATAAGAGTCTTTTGATGAGAAAGGGCGTTCGAATACCGGCATGTCCACAAAAAGGGTTTGGACTTTCCTTTCGTTTCTAAAAATGTGTGATATTTTAAATTTACTAACAGTTATTTGTTTATAAGCTTTTTTCTGGTTATTTGGTTTTTTTAACACGGTAAAAATACTAAAATTGACACAACTGAAACTCCAAGCAGTTAACAATTTTAAGAACATAAACGAGAGCTAACAATTTGTTTAATTAGGCCTATTCCTGAAAGATAAATAATAAGTTAAAAAGCTAATTTTTCTTTCTTGTCTGTGGCTCTGTAATTAGTGAAGTTTATTAATATGGCAAAATAATATAACTAATTTGCTGTGGTATTGATTACTTACTGTTGCAATTATCTTAGTGTCCTCTTGTTCTTTACTGACCATCGTGTCAATCTTTTTCAAAAGCATCTGCAGCAATTCCGTTTGTCCCCCTCCTAGATCCACGGTTGCTAAAAAATATTTGGTTGAGAAAAAAGCTACCAATAATAGAAAAAAAATAGTACAAGAAATATTTCATTTAGCTTTTCTTCTTGCTGAAAAATAAAGAAGAAGTAATTAATTAATTTTAAATCAAGTGTTATATAATATATTATGTTTTTTTATCAATAAGCTACATATATGAACCCCGAAAGAACAAAAGCACATACAAAAACTACCTATGCTTGGGATATTATAGATAGCTGGGAAACCACTGCAGATTTTACCTAAAAGTTACAATACAAAATTTGTCATGAAATTTTTTTTTTTTTTTTATTATTTAACATAATTGACTTTAAAAAATGAACAAGAACATTATACCATGGACGACGACCCCGCTTACTTCTCGGCAAGTAGCCATTAGGATCCCCACCAACATGATATAGGCTTCTCGTGCTGGCATCCTCTGGAACATAAGTTACAACTAGAGCACACACAAACACAATAGGACAATTTGATCTACTAAAAAGAAAACTAAATTAACACTGTGCTTTATTTCTTGGGCAATCATTGAAAGAGCTGATTTGAAAACTATGGAACATCGGAAAGTCATAGAACACCACCAAGTAGAACAAATATAAAAAAATGATTTTTTTAAATTCATAATCGTTGTTATGGACAACCTAACGCGGATATGAGTGAATATTTGTAGAAAACACTAAAAAAACAAGATCAGCTTTTGAAAAATGACAAGATATTTACAAGAAATTTTGATTATATCGATCTGTTACGTACATAGTTATTTCCATAATATTCTAAACGACTCTTCGGAAATTATGACTGTTATTCGTTTTAAAATAACGCCTATAATACTTCGCAATTGCTAGAATTCGATAACAGGTACACTAGTTGAAATTTAAACTTCGTTCCCGTAATAAAAACAAACAATTGTATACTACTGTGATTAATTATAGGTAGGCTAAATAGGTTTTGTGCCTAAACCATGCTTAAATATATATGTTTAAACTGATGATAAATAATTCTTAAAAACTTACTTCTTTCCTTGGTGTTATAAGAGCTGGTGTTAAAATAATTTTGAAAAATCCATTAGGTATCAAATGTTGTAGGGTTTTCTTCAAGAAGACAACTTGCTAGAAGGTTGCACGTCGGTTTCTAGAAGCTTCCAAATCGTCGAGTCCATAGCTGAAACAAAGAAGACGGTGGTCTTTCGAGTGCGCAGTCGTCAAACTAAAGACTACCACACTATCAGATGACTAAGTGACAAGTATAAGAATACTGGATTTTCTTTTTATAGCCGATAATCATGTGAAATGAATCCATTAGATACTAGATTAATACCTATGCAATATTAATTTTGTTAAGTCATTTTAATCGGTTTAACTCGGTTCAAGTGGTGCTTGTAAAGATAATAGGATGTTCTTATTTAATATTTTTAATTATCTAAGTTTTCAATACATGAAATGTTTGTTAGCGTATTTAATTTAATGTAATGCATTGATTTTTTGGGTAAAATGGTCTTCACAATAGTAATAATTTCATTAAGACTGGTGGACAAATAACAATAATTGATTGGAGAGTTAATTCATTCATTTTAACCAGCCTGTTCTACTTTGGAAACTGTAACTTACGTTTAATAATAAACATATCTTCTGAATTCTTAGTGATTAACTAATATAAGATTTGCCCTTGGGTCCTTGTATGTTAGGTTCTGAAAGGTAATATAAAAATGTGATGAAAACATTCGGCAAACTTACAAGGTTCAACTAAATTTAAGGTACCTGTACACGCATGTAGCTTTATATTCATTATCACATTTATCGTAAAAACAAACAATCAATTAAAGCAGTCTATAACTCATGTGAATATATTGAATTATATAAGAACCAATTACTGTATTTAATTGTAGAAGCAATATAAAGCATTTGAATATAGGCATTATTCAGACGGAAAATAGGTAAGTTTTGGATTTCTATCTTATACAGGATGTTCAAAAAAGTTGTGGACATATTTACTTGGGTCAAAATAAAGAGAAAATCATGAACAACATTTTTTTCCAAAATCGTTTCGCTAACCAGATATCCGCCATTTTGTATTTTTACATAAATATGTTTATATTTGAATTGTTTCAACCGGTATTTTTGAAACTTGGCATATATGTTAAGATAGTAGAGACCCATGGTTGGAAAAAAGCTATCTTGATTCAACTTAAGGTTTCAAAATGGTGGTAATTTTAATTTTTGTAAACTTAAATTGCTAACATATGGTTGATTTTATGAAAACAACTCATGGATATTTTTTTTTAGTATTTTTAATTCCCTATTAAACAATACCCAATTCAAAAATATCGAATGAAAAATACCTGAAGTATCATGATTTTTATTTGTTAAATCCTTTGGGGCCTTGTTCTGTCCCGTTTTAGTAACTAAAAATCGTGACATTTCAGCTATATGTTATTCGATCTTGTCTAACTTGGTATCGTTAGGTAGGGACTTAAAAAATGCTAAATAAAAGTGGTCTAAATATTTTGTCATAAAATCACACATATTTTAGTAATTTAAGTTTAAAATGTTTAGTATCAGGAATCATTTATTTAAATTTTACGTAAAGCATGATTCGAAGAAAGGCGCAAATGACTTTATCTTCACTAAATCTCAAAATAGAAATATTTCCCTTAAGAAATGTACAATATTCTATATTTAGGAGTAAATAATATGTTCACATTTGAATACTCCATTCACAACTAATAAGTTATGCTCGCGACTAAATTCGGTTATACATTGACAAGCGAGCTCTGGATTTATAATTAAATAATAGCTATTTATTCATTACTGAATTATGCATTAGATTTTATAAAAACTACCTAACCTCTGTCTCTAGTTTTTTTCTATTTTTTTACGAAACGTCTTCTGCCTAATTTCGTTGCAAGCACAACATTACCAGCGTACAACAAGTCAAAACTAAAAAAAATGAATAAAATAACAAAACATAAAATACTTTAACAGATTTGGACCGTGAATGTGTATGGCTAGACTTATTAACAACATTTTTAGAAAAAAAGTTAAATAAACGAAATGGTAGCTGTGTGAGTAACTAAGGACTTCTGGACAATTTCAATATACCCAGACAGCACATGAGCTTGGACTAAACTTGGTTTTTACATATTTCTGAATTTGTATGACAAACTTGGAGTTTGGAACCCACTACAAATTTAAAACAGCTTTGGTTAAGTGAACTTGTGTGAATGAGCCAAAACTAAACTTGTTTTATTTACATATACAACCTGGTTGGCCAAGTCTACAATTTAAACACCTAACCAGACCCACGACAAGCTTGTTCATGTGAGTCTAAAGTGAGCAGTGCCATATGACAAAAGAATTTTCCCTCCACCCCTACCCACCACACGCTTCTAAAACCTGTTTCTTTGTGCTGAACCACCATTTTTGTTGGATTTAGACTTCCTCACTCTCAGATGTCAGTTCTCACTTATCTTGTTTTGGTGTTGTGAGTTGCTCGTTTCGTTACTAGTTGTGAGTTTTATTTGTGGTTTTGATACCAAGACGAAGCAAAGAAGAATTAAGGGATTCCTGTAAAGGTGAGATCTAAACTCCGTTGATAAAAATATACTTGTGATATAAGTAAGCTAAGTTAAGCAAACAATTAATTTCATTGCATCAAGAACCCCAGAATTTTGTTTATAGCCTAAACCTTTTATACTCAGTGCTTCACTGAATCGACAACGTCACTCACTCTACACTAGTCTACTGCTGAACTCTACAGAACAGTGCCAAAATTTGTGTTTAACCTAACCATAATAGTCAATGCCTTAACCTAGTCTACAAATAAAAACAGGCCAAACCATTAGTTTATGTTGTTTGTATTCAGTAGCCTTGTTGATAAGTGTAAGTTCCTTTATCACATGCTGTAATCATTATAAAAGTAAAACAGTAAGAAATAAAAGTTTGATAACAATTTTAAAAACAAGAGTAAGTAACCCTGTGAGAGCTACCCTGTGTTTGCAACACCAACAAAAATGCCAAATAATCAAATAATTCTAATAACAAATAAAAATAATGAAAAATTATTTAAATAATAAATTTTAATAAACCAAATAATTCGTCTAATGCAATTGTATTTTTTATAGATCTTCTGAAGCAGGCGGTGGAGTTGATGGATTCAGAAAAGAAGTTGAAGGTGAAGTGGAAGATAGTGGGCATTGTATTTATTATATTAATAAATTGTCTTGAAATGTAAATGTCTTGTTTTCTAAACCTAACAGATCATATATAACCAATATTTTTTTCCAAGATCACTTAAGACTCATAAAATAGGCTTCATTTATTGATCATAAATGTTTCTTGGTAAAAAATTAATTATATTTATGTTTAAGAAAAAAGGTGGGCTAGCAAATGAATGGTGTGAAACAGCTTATATGTTAAATAGGTATAAATTATATTACTATTACTATAGCCTATTATAAAATTATTATTATTATCTCTGATCACGACAGTTAAGTATATAAAACTATCGTACCAAGTCTGAGTGAGTCTATATGTGTGAGCTTGTTTGCCCAAATCTAAGATGTGCTAAAACCAATTCCAATATGAGTCTAGGCCAAGTCCAATATGAGCCTACTAAAATTGGGCTTGGGTCTCCAAGTCCATAATGAGCCTGTTTAATTTATCAGTGTGAGCTTGTTTGCCCAAGTCTAAAATGTGCTAAAACCAATTCCAATATGAGTCTAAGCCAAGTCCAATATGAGCCTACTAAAATTGGGCTTGGGTCCCCAAGTCCCGAACAAGTCCATAATGAGCCTGCTTAATCTACCAGACCTGTTTTGTATCCATCATTCCAAGCTTAGAGTAGGTTTGTGACCATGAATTCACTGTAGGTTTGGGGTTGGGACTTGGGTTGGACTTGGGGAGCCAAACCCATAACAAGTTGAACAACTGCCAACTTCGGTCTCTAAAACAAGTCAAAACCAAGTCTACAGACTTTGGTGCCTGAGTCTAAACCAGGCTTGGGAACTTGGGCCAATGGACTTGGAACAAGTTCCCAGCAAGCCCTTTGTGCTGTTGGGGTAATATTTAGATATGTTTCTTACTCAGGAACAATAAAGTATAAAGTATAATATATAATATAAAGTATACTATATATAAAGTAAAGAGTTCTGGGACACCCTGTATAATCTTTTTTGTAACCTAAATGGACCTAAGAGCAAATGCTAAGGGAGATGATACAAGTTTAACAGCATCAGGTTAGAGAAGCCCATAAGGAAATTAAAACTTTTTTTAGGTATATTTTTTTGAGCACTCTAGTCACTAATATTATTTAAGTAGCAGTTAAAAAAAAGCTTAAGTCTATTGGTCGTCGATTACACTTCAGCTGATTGAACGTTTGTTCATAGTACAATGTTGTTTTCTGCATCTGTGTACCAACTGCTGCTGCAGTAACCACGGTATGGAATTGGTATGGATCCCAACACGACCGCTTGACGTGTGTGCGCGGGTCAGGGGCGTCGCCTTGGGGGGGGTAGGGGGGGGAGCCTCCCCCCCCCTAGAATCTGGGAAAGAGAAAAGTTGGGAATTTCCTTGCCACGAGTTGGGACAGTTGGGAAGTCAGATACAAGAAAAACATATTTTTAAACTAAACAAAATTTAAATATTTGTGAAAATCCATCAAAGATAAAAATTTCTTTGACTTGGACAAATAAACTTGACGCTTCTTTGATTTCATTTAACTTTGATTAAACAAGGCTAAACATGCCTTATTTTAAGAAATCAATAATCAATTAGCGGAATAGCTTGTTGGAATTTCGTTTACGAGATATTTTGTTCCTTATTGGACTTATGTTGGCTACCTTGATCCTGTCCTGTGTTGATGATTCTGAATGATTCGTCTGCGAGACTGCGAGTTTGAATTTTGAAAGTGCAAGCAATGTAGCTCTTCAGTTCAATTATGTTGTTTGTTAGTGTTTTCAAGAAATTCAAAAATATTTTTCACGTCAGTCACATGAAATATATTTTATACCTTATTTTGTGGTATTTGGAGCATTGGAGCAGGCTAACTGACCGGAGTACTTGCTAATAAGCAGATTAAAATAACATTAAAGATAGGTTTTGTGTATCGGTATTACCTTTAAAACTCTTATTTTTTAATAACCTAAATGGAATATTTATTCTCTGAATATATTAAAAAAAATCCACACAAGCCATTTATCATTCCTAATTAAGGATTTACAAAAATGAATCAACTAATCACTCTGAAACAGATCTACGTGGACAAAACGACAAAACATGACGTACAATTTGATGTTTGACTTTCATGTCTAAGTTTGATTTTTTCTTAAGTTCTAGTTTGATGAAGATGAAGGTTAACAATTGTATTGTATGTATAAGTTTATTATCGACCAAGTTGAAAGTTTTTATTTTATACAAGTCTTATTTTAGGTTTATTTTTTTCTAGACTAGAATAATATTATTCACAACACTGATATTAATATTTCATCATTACAAACTTGTTTAGGCCTACCCTAGTTGTAAGTTTTATGAAAGTTAAAATGTTGATCTTAACTTCTAAAAGTATTTTAATTTCATTATTTTGTAATAAAATATTTTGTCTATACTAATTTGTACTCTGAGGTTTATTTTATATCCCTAAAATTTTACACTGCTACGTCTGCTACCACAATGGTTTGTAAAGTTTTTTTTTTTATTTGAAACATTACTTGTTCAAGTTTTTGAAGTCATAAAATTTCATTATGAATTGTTAGAAGTTTTAGAAATTGAGTAATTTTGTATATATGTAAAATTAGCTATGTTTTGTTAATGCAATTTTATAAATACTGAATTGAATGTTACTGCAGTGTAGTATAATAATTTGTAGATTTTAAAAAATGTTGCAGAAATTGATTTCTAAAAAAAAAATAGTTGGGAAATCTATGTTAAGCAGTTGGGAAATTTGAGGCTTCTCCCCCCCCTGAAATTTAACCAAGCAACGCCACTGGCGCGGGTGTGAGAGAGTTGGTACTGAGATTTGTGTTTCATATATTGAATATCTATAAGTTTTGTAGTGTTTTTCTCACAACCGATACACCAGAATGCCAGGCTTGGTTGAAGGCAGATTGGCTCTTGTGACAGGTGATATTACTGTTTTCAATCTCTATAACGTTTATTTAATTGTTAGACAACTAATAATTTGATTAACTTGTGTATATATACCGTAAAGGCTGTTATAAATCTTATGCAACAGTCTTTCTAGCTTTCAGCAAATTTTCCTATAGGGAAGTAGCTATTATCGTAGATGGCACTGTAAGACCTAGACCCTAGATTTTTTTCATTTTGATGTCCCTAGAGAGGCCAAAAACACGATTCGTTCAAATTTTTATATGTATTTTAAAAGTATTTGTATGGATATTTAAAAAATACATTGTTTTTAATATGAACATAAGGATGTACCTTTCAGACTTATGAGGAATGTTTGCATTTACAAACAAATATTTATTATTTTCTTTAGGAGTTCATAAGAAGATTCAGTTTGATAACGCAAAACTACCAATGTGAGATTAATAGCTGAGGTCAAGTTCAATTAGGTCGAATCTTATCACTCTAGTTGTCTGACACTAACCCCATTAAAGAACCGAAAACGTATATTTATTTCCTACAGAAAATATCTATTTAATATCGTATTAAGCTAACCCACAGCTAAGCTTAACATAAATTTAATTTTTCATACACATTTTATTTTTAATTTTGTAACAAAATAATTTATCACCTATAATTGATTTTTTTGTTAAAATAGTTAGTGTTTTAGCATGTAATTTTCAATACAAATCGTTTATTGCTAAAGGTGTCTTATTAATTTATCTTCCTTTGGTTCAATTCACACAACTGTATGGCCCAGAATTCTAACCAGATACTGGCCCATACTGCCAAGTTTCTGGCCCAGTACTGCCCAGAGTACAGGCCCATACTGCTCGGTTCTGGCCCATACTGCAAAGGTTCTGGCCCATACTGCCAAGATTCTGGTCCAGTACTGCACAGGCTCTGGCCCATACTGCCCAGGTTCTGGCCAGTACTTTCTACAATTTTGCAAGTGCTTCTCCTAGGCTGGATTTTTTCTGGTCCAGAACAATTTTTCCACATGGGTATCCTAATGGTTGTACAACTTTCGTGAAATTAACCTAAATTTCGAACTAAAACCAGCATATTGTTAGCGAGTTAATGTATGTATCATGAATGTTCATTTACCATTTTCTGATGCTAAATGCATGACGCAGGTGGCAGTAGTGGCATAGGCAGAGCAGCATGTCAGGTGTTGGCCAGAGAAGGTGCCACGGTAGTTGTCACATGTGTGGATGACTATGGAGCGAAGGCAACAATGGAAACATTACCAGGTAGGCTATACTTCATGTTGGTCATCTCCACGATACCAATATGTAAAACTACAAAATACGAGGGCGGTTTTTAAGTAGGGCCGGTTTCACGTATAAATCCGTATTTCACTCACCGCCATTTACTGGCATCTTTTGTGAACTGAATGACACAAATTTCAGCTCTGTAGCTGTCATTTACGATTCTCTGTGTGTTTTTTAAAACATGACGGAAGGTGGTGTCAATAACACAATGAGTGAGGTTAAATTACGAAAATGGGTTATAGAGTGTAAAAACAGCCGAGAAATACTTTTTTCTTAGTGGTCTTCTTTGAGCGGTCTGGGTCATACCTAGGGCGCGGCCGGAGATTTGATTGTTTAAATAAAAACTTTAAAACATACAGCGAAGCGTACATCACAGATACAGAGCTGAAATTGGCATTATGTTATGCTTGTAAATGGTGATGAGCCTCATTACGGCGTACAAGCGAACTACGGATTTATACGAGAAACCGGCCCTTCCTAAAAAAAACCATGTTTCTTTTTTTGGGCCTCTCCCACCACAACTTTGCATCAGACTTAGTTCATAGCTGTTGTTATTATTTGAACTCAATTGCATGATCATAGACTTAGGAAAAGAAATGTTCTGTGCTTTGTAAATTTGTTTCATAGTTCATAGTTCAAGCAAAGTTAAAAAAACCCCTTGTTATGTCCAGGAGCTAGCCATTCATTTATGAAGTTTGATGTGACCGACACACCACCTGTGGATATATTAAATAAAATCTTCCTTGAATACCGAAAATACCCAGACATTCTCGTCAACTGTGCTGGCATTGTCAGATTCACTCCGCCACTAGAAGAGACACCAGAGACTTTCCAGAGCATCATTGATGTCAATCTAAAAGTAAGCTTGTGTTAAGAGTTTTACAGGTAAAATATCAACAATGATCAATGGAGTGGTGGCCACCGCATTACTTTTTAGTTATTGGACCCTGAGAGACCAAAAAGCCGGTTGATATAGATTGATATTAGTTAACTTTAAAGATAATTTTTATTTTCAAATCAAAATTTACTTGATTTCACCCGAAACCCAGCATAGTCCCATGGAAATTTAGTTTTTTCTTCCTTTCTTGTAGGTTTTAAGTGGACTTGACTTGCAAATCCTAACTTCACATCTCAAAAAAAGTAATTTTAAAATTAGTTTTATTATTTTAAATTTAGCTATTTTTACTATGCTTCCACTCCAGGCCAATCTAAACTCTTATATATGACCTATTTTTAGTTTAAACACATACATTAATGATAAGTGATTATAATTACTGGTTTGTTAGACTCTTGGAGTTGCAGCACAATGGGATTCGCCTTACGTTCGATTTAATAGAAGTGTGCTTGCATAGGCTAAATAGTTTCAGTAAAAGTTTGGTTATGTTACCAAACTTGCTTCCAATACATCGTTTATGCTTCTACTCTTCTACACAAATTACACCTATAATTACTATAAGGACACATATGAGCCTTATGATCCCAACTTGTGCAACGATAACACTTTATCTTGCTATCATTATTTTTCTCTTCAAAAGATTTTAACTTGTACCCAGCAGGATTCCCACTTTTCACAGGACCACGTGCACACTTGTTCACACTAAATTTGGAAATATCTTGCACAGGATGATTCCCGAATAAGCCTGTTTGCCTTTCAGCCTGTTCTAGCATGAGCGCTTGAGCAAAAGTTTTGCTCAAATCTAATTCTTCGGAAAGCAACTTTTGCCTTATTCCATCATTACTAATGCCTGATATTAGTTTGTCCCTCAAAGCATCATTTAAGAATGTACCGAAATTACAAGTACTGGCTAAATGTTTGATAGCGACCATAAATTCCGCTATTGACTCTGCCGGTTTTTGACAACGACTATAAAACGTATATCGTTCCGCAACAACGAGCCTTTTAGGAGCAAAATGTTCTTCCAATGTTTTACTTAGGCTTTCGTATGTTTCATCGTCAATCTTCTTGGGGGATATTAAGTCCATTAACACCGCCAAAATCTTAGGTCCAATCACTGTTATCAAGATGGAGACATGATTCGTCGACTTGACATCGTTGGCCTTGAAGTAATGCTTGAGTCGTAATAAATACGAACTGATGTCCTCTTCGTGGGGATTAAATTCCGAGACTCTACCGATACTCGACATTTCGCACTTTTGCGGTTTTAAAGAACGCACTTTACAAAACTTTCACTAGTTTTACTGCGACAAAACCAATATTTAATCCGGCGACTGCGCCATTATTACAACTACACGTATCGTATATTACGTCCACTAACCTGTTACTCATTTGCTAGACTGCTTGCTTGTCTCCGACGTCGGGCTGTGACGTCAGCTGTTGTCGTCATCGGTGGTCAGTGCAGCCAATTCATAAACTTAAATTCCTCTTGCTACTTTACTTAATATAATATACTACACTATATGTTGTTGTTTTTACTTTTCTTTGTTTACACTTATATTTATTTAGCAATTGATGTACTGAAATTGATATAAAAGATATTTGTGGACGATTCGTTTAATGATGTCAGGACACCAACGTTATAGTTATGTGTACTGTGAATTTTATTGAATGTTTTCGTTTTATTTTAGGGGGTTTCTATTCAGACCTACTGGAAATTGTGTATAGTATGAGTAATTGTATTGTGTTGATATTGATTATGGAAGAGGCAGGTATGCGATGGAATTGGAAGGTGATATCGTTGACTAGGCCTATACACTTTCTCAATTGATAATTACTCTTTCTACTGTAGGCTGCTATAAAATTTGTCTTTATACGTGTAAGCTAGCTGTTCTGATTTATACACAGTTTTAACTGACTACTCCCGTACGTAGGACGGGCTAACACCTCGTATTATCTTAAACATTTTATATTGGTGTTATTTATATTACGATATTGTTGATGATTTATTGCTGATGCTTGGCTCTTTTCATTTTAGAATTAGTGGAATATTAAATTATAAGCTGATTTATAGTATGCGTTTCCTTATGCCATTGGAATATAAATAAATAAACATCAACCCATTCAACTAAGGTTTACTGTTTAACTTGGATACAGTGAACCCTCTTGAATCTACTTACAGTATCGTTGCACAGTTTACAGCACTTCCCTACTTTCCTGTTTTTAAATATAACTCAAACAAATTTGTGTAATTTGCGTTTCTTTGAGTACGAGGAGTATTCTCCAAATTACCCCATACTTATCCCACATACGGTGTTTACCAGTATGTATTTTTTTTTGGAATGTGGGTTGATTTTTAAGATTTTTTTGTAGGTACATAAATCTTGTATGTTTGGTCCTGGAACACGTATGTGTTGTGTTGTGTGAGTGTGTTTAGTTGTTCAGATCGTTATAATCATATAATGTTTAAGTCGTCAATGTATTTAATCAAACGTTTTATGTTTCAGAGGTTGCGGAAGTGATAGTGTTTTTGACCTCAGATCGCGCGTCCTACGTCAACGGCGCCCACGTCCCTGTAAATGGAGGCTTTTAAAGTCTTATGCTGTTATTGCGATAAAATTATTTCTCATGCTGCAGTAAAAACTGATCTATTCAATACATGCCTTGCTCCACAAAATTAGTCCTTATTATCTCTATGGTAAAAAATGATCAGTGGAGCCAAGAGTAGTAGATAAAGATTTGACACACTTGTAAACTTCCTTAAAAAACCTAATATATAGATAATATTTACTGATTGATGCCAAGTTCATGTTGCACTTTTTTTTCTTTTTTTTTTTTTTTTTGCTAGACTGCAATTTTGTATGATTTTTGATAATTGGCCGTAGGAATATTAATCCCTCTCCCTGCATATACAATATTGTAAAAAAAAAAAAACTAAGTCTTAGGTCAAACATCCCAGAAGTTATTAATTTGTAAAATGAATACCATAACATTATGTAAAAAAGCGAATATTTTTCATTTGCCTAGTTCTGAAATAAGAAATTATGTTGATTAACCTGTCAATGATTTGGCATTGTGGCGGGTTTTGACTGATTGAGACCTGATTGAGATGGGATTGAGACGGAATTGAGATAGATTGAGTTGGATTTAGACGGGATTGAGATGTATATATATGGGATTGAAACGGGATTGAGATGGGATTGAGATGGGATTGAGACGGGATTGAGATGGATGAAGACGGGATTGAGATGGGTTGAGACGGGATTGAAATGGATTGAGATGGTATTGAGACGGGATTGAGGTGGATTGAGACGGGATTGAGATGGGATTGGGACGGGATTGAGAAGGGATTAAATGTAATTGAGACAGGATTTAGAAGGATTTCCACTTTTCAAGTTTGCTGCCATTTTGGAAAATGGCTGCCATATTTGAAACAATGGAATCAATATTTTGTACGTATTTTATGTTTTTTTTTAATGTTGATGCAATTTAACACTTATTTACTCTTCCCATTTTCGCCTATATAAACCTACTAGCTTAAGAGATACACGATGGAAAATGTACACCGGAAATAATTTTTTCATAACTCCTTAACGAGTGGGTTTATGGAAACAAATCTCAAGAATTTTTTTTTTAATCGCATGTTACATCCGTAAAATATAGGGTGTTCTATAAGAAATTTCTAAGTTGGCCTCCATTTTGGAAAATGTTGGCTGAATGAAAAAAAACGGAATTCTTATTTTTAGGTTCCACGAAAAATAAAGGAATGTGCCCCATTTAAACTTTACTCTAATTCTTACCGTTTTCGATATCCCAATGGTGACCTCCTTCAGTTGGATCATCCAACTCAAGCAAAAATGATCCGATTTTGATGAAATTTGGTATAGACGTGTAAAACCTACATCTATTCGAACGAGTTCCCTAATCTGCATGATCGGACTATGGGAACGGGGGTTATGGGGGTTTTATGGGGTAAAAATGGATTTTCCCATTTTCACCCTGTAAACATACAATTTTGCAATTTTTTTCCAAACCATTTTGTAAAGCTCAAAAAACGAATTAGTAATTTAGTATATTGAAGCATTGTTTTATGTCTAACGGTTACGGGGAAAAATTCCAAAAAGGTGTAAATTTAAAATTACCATGTTAGACTATTATTTTTATGGAGAATAAATAAACTGCCGTAGCTTGCTTGTCTATAGACATATTCTAATGCAATTTTGAAATTTTGTTTACTTCATACTAAGCTATCAATATTTCAATAAAACCCCCTATTTTCTTTCCTGTAGCAGCAAACTTAAGTACTCATTAAAATTTAAATAGGAATTTTAATGAATTTTAATGATTAGGAAATTTAAGATATTTAAATAGGAAATAAATCTGACAATTTTAAGGGAATAATTGAGTGGAATTCCAGCCAGATAGATAGAAATTCACTTAGTCTGCAGGTTTGCTGAGGCGGGGGTATTTTACTTATCGTGATGGAAAATGTCCTCAATATTCTTTTATATAACAAAAGCTATGATCAATTTGTCTCTGATCGAATTAAATTACATTTCGATTACTTTTGAAACTACAGTACTGTATTTAAGGAGTTGTAATTTCATACTGTACAAAGCGATGCGTCGAAATGTTTCATAAACTTGTCGATAGAGTGTGCTGAGTGTTCAACCGCGCTACAAACAGTAGTTTGTGAATTCTCACCCAGAATGCGCGCTTATACATGATGTGACTATACTGTTCTAGATTCTAGAATGTAAATATAAGTAATTTAAATTTAAAAATTCAAAACACACGTTTTTCAATAATTGTAGGGATTAATCTAAACGGGGGAACATTGGTGTATCTAATGTTCAGTGTAGTTCAATGTAATGTATAAAATCGGATAAACCAATAAAATGTACACCTCTTTAATACATCTTTGATCAACACATGATTTTGATTTAAAAAAAAAAACTTTGTTAGCTAAAGAGAACTTAATGTTTGGATTAAAATGTCTCTTATTATTTTCCAATTGCGTTAAATAAATGTTTTACATACATCAAAATAAACCATTTACAATTTGATAAAATATATTTAATATTAACAATGATCAAAATCTAATCACCAAAAACTATCAACATAGCTTCCCTACATTTTTTAAAGTAAGTGTTTAAGTTGGTTAGCCTAATTAAAAAAAGAAATTACAATAGTGTAGCTAAAAAAAAGTATGAAAATGTATTTTGGCAAACAATGGTGAACAGGGTCTTTTCCAGACAATGTTATCAGTATCATTCGTATATTTCCATGATCTACTCAAATTGAAGGGAAAGTATGAAAAATCTTAAGAAATTTATGAAAATTGCACTATTTCTTACATGTTTTTACAATAGCTTCATGCTGTAATATAACGTAAATTCTTTAAAAAGAAGGGTTCCCAACTATGTACGTATACAGTATGTAATTACTGTATGTTAGTGGATGGAAAGATTTTTTTTGTAGGTACGTTCCATCGGGGAACCATTTGTTTGTGTTCCTGGCATAATTTTTCCTGTACCAAATGGTGTTTATTCCACAGCCCTAGTGACTAAATATATACTTTTAGCAAAAGCCATAAAAGTTGGATCAGTAAACGAAACTAAGACGGAGATCATCAAATCAAATTAAAATTAATGGGTGGTTTCGATTTTACAATATAATAAGAAGACTGCTTGCACTATCTAAAATCAACAATGAAAATACTCTAGTTTCAGGCGTAAACAAAATAAGATGAAATATCAGTCAATTTACATGCAAAAATGAATAGTTTTGTAAATGAAATGTGTTATTGAAATTCGTAGGTCTATATAGGAGAGGCCTTGATTCAAACCAGTGAATAGTGATTTCAAAAAACCGCTCATTAAAATAAAAACTACACAACCAGTGCTATTCAGTTTGCTTCTAAAAGCATCTAAAACCGACGCTATTCAAATGAGAGGAAGCAAAGAGGGGTCGGAACAAAAAGTTTCAGTTCGTAGAAACCGCGGAGTGTAAAGCGCGTGTAGCATAGTTCAACTAAAATCGATGACTTTGCGGACCTAAGGGGGAAGAGGGGAAGCGCATGTAGAGGTAGCAATCAAAATAATCCAGAACAAAACCGAAACGAAACGAAAGGAAGAGCTAGGACGGAGAGAGCTTTCACTATTTCCATATTGTCGCGTAGGAGTAGAAGTAGTGGGGATAGTCACCACCCTATGAGGGGAAACCACCCTCCGCGAGAGCCGGATAAAAATATTGCCTCCGCGTAAACAGATAGCCCATCAAGGCATCCAAGAATCGTCTATAAATGTCGCAGTTTTGGGATCAATAAGGCTCATAGTTGCGTCACGCCCAGTTGCACAACAATGACGCATTGCTAACATTCGTCTGTTTTAAATTCGACAACGTGACGCAGAATTGTCACGTTCAGTTACTGGTGACGAATGTTTTGCATAACCTATGAAAATGTGGGTTGTCACAGCAGGAAAGGTCCGAAAGTATTTTCCTATATCGCCCCTGTCACTTTTTATTAGTTTACCTCTACAACACCTACACACCAGGGTGACGAGTGGAGGAGTTGAATGTATGGGGAATGTTATAGCTCTGTTACTAATACCCCTGGTTGCCAGGACAATTCATTATTCTGGCTCCATGAACAAACTTCTTACACTTCTTAGTACCGAACCCGCAATCTTTTAGGTGAGCACTATAACCTCTCAGCTTCCCAGATAGCCTGTAAAGTCTGTATAAGTGGTTTTCCACCAGGCGTATGTGAAAGAGCAATGCGTAGTTATCTGATAAAAAATATGTTAACTGATGGTTTTAAACATGTCAAAACCCAACCAAATAAATATAAACTAGTGGTTGTATATGGATCATGATATTATTTGCTTCTTTGTCATTCAAAATTGTTAAATCTGTTTGAATACTAAACAGTTGACCTTTTTATTGTTATCACTCCTATTGATTTATTTGAATCAGCGATAATGACAACAGCACTGTTTATGCCGGGAAATAAAAACAAATAAAAACATTTAAGGCATGCTACTTTTTAGAGAATTCAACTAATTAGAGTAATGCAGTAAGAATTACGTGTATATAAGGGATTTATCACGATAGAAACATTGAGTGATGCTAATTCACTACCACTATATAGTCAATGGCAATTCTCTTACAAAAGCCATAATCCTTAAAGTGTATTTAATTGTGATTAAATGTTTTTAGGTTTGGAAATATTGAAGAACATGGTTTATTTTTTATGGACTTTGATAAAACGACATTTCACACCCCACAGGAAAGCTGTAATTTCACAATTAAATTTCATTATTTAAATTAACTAGTAAATTAATTTAATTTAAATAGTAATTATTTAGTATTTAATTTACATAGTAAAGATTTGCGAAGTGAATTAACACCTTCAAGATAATTAAAATATTTAGTTCAACAAATGAGTCATAGACATATTGTACAAGATGAAATTTGTTTAATATCCATAAACATTAAATTAAATACGCTTTAATATAGGGTCGTTGTAAAGTTAATTTTGACCTTACACAATATTTACCTTCAAAATTTGTGCTCAACAGCTATGACCCATCAGAAATGTCTTCATATTCGAAAAACATTAGTTATTTGT